CAAATAGAAGAGAGGACTTGAGAAAAAAGAAAATACTAAGGACAATATCAGTTTAGAAGAGGGTAATCCGCAACTTCTAATATGCTTGTGTCTTATTAAAAAAAAAGGGGTAATCTACTCTTAATCAAGATTAAACAAAGCTCTCATATTGTAGGTGTATTCTTGCCAATCTGTCAAGGACAAGAATATGATAAAAAAAAATAAACAAGCGAGACTTCTCTCAAAGAAAGATGACAAAATAGAAATAACTTGATATGTATATTAAGAAAGAAACTAGAATGGCTATTACCAAAAGTCAAGAAAACTAGAAACCCTTGAAACTAGATTGGAAGTAAGAAATGAGTTGACAAGAGTGAAGAAGGCTTCATTCTTGTCTCTATATATACTATCTAACTAGGGGCTATGTGGCGACATTCCATAGGACCTCCAATATGTGTTGACTTTGTAGGACACATGCCTTGACTTACAAGGCAAGTTTTTCTACGTGTGGGCCACATAGTTAGCTTGATCTTCAAGCTAACAACATGTGTGGCACATGGCCAACTTGTTGACCACGTTTCTAATCCAAAAAGTCAATTTAAGATACCTATAAAGTCAAAGCAACATCTATGAAGCTTCTAGAAAGCTTCCATATCAAATACTATAGAATTAACTTACTTTTACCTACTTTTACTTATTTCTACCTATTTATACATGTAATTATTGGTTTACATGTGTATGTCCGTGATAATTACCATGCCAACATTGAGTGATCTATTTTACTTCATAGTTGTTACTATAAAGTGAGTTTGTTTCTCCACTATTGTATGTAATAAATAAAATTTAGTGAATAAAAAAGATAAAAAATAAAATATTAATAATAAAGAAATAAAAAAGTTCTAGAGCTAAAAACCTTGTCATTACTTGTTGTGGAGGTATGGTTGAAAAAATTGGTTCATAATTATTGGTACTAAAAAAAATATTATTAACAGTATCAATATAAGACTCATTGAAATAATATGCTTGAATAGATTCAACATCTTGAATACTATTATTCTTCTAAGCTGCTACAAAATGAGTATGAAATACTATCCACAAAGCAACAAACACAATAAGATAGAATGTAGATTTCAACAATTTGAAATCAAAATATGAATGTATAGAAAAGATATCAACATCTTGAGATTTGTAATTGAACAAAAAGGATCGAATTATTTGAAATTCTTGATACTTAAAACTTCAAAATTTTGATCACAATTAATAAAAAAACTATTGAAAGCATCTACAATAAAAATATATATATATATATATATATATATATATATTATACTCATAATAAAAATAAGATATAAGAAAAAATTAGCAATCTCTAAACTATTACATATCATAAAGAGGAGAGAGGAAATTATGTGGAATATTGTTGTTGAAGATTGGAGCAATAGATGCTCACATGTATATTGTTGGGTCATGTTTTTTGTGCATATTGTCAACTCCTAAATCACATTCTCTTGGTATGCTCCACTCTTATTTTTGGTTTTTATACCACTAATTAGTTATGGTATTTGACAGATGGTACTATCTAATCTCTATGTATTTTTAGTCATATTGCTTTATATAATTGTAGGCTCTACAAAAATCATGTTGAAACAATCGTTTGGTTTTAAGGTGGCTGAAGTCCTATCAAATACATTCCTTAATCTGCTCATAGTTTTTTTGTAAAATATAAGAATTTCTAAAAACTATAAATTTAATTAAAATAAGATATCTAATTTTTTTAAAGAATCTAAATACGATTTGATTATTGTGTTATTTCAAAATCATTCAAAAATACTACCACTATATAGTTCAAAAAATTTAAATCTCAATTCTTGGTACAATTTTAAATTTCATAGAACCACCTTATGTTCTCTTCTCTATCAATTGACCTTTAACTTGCTGATCTAAGAAGGCACTTGATGCAAACTTATGAAGCTACTACAATACTTAGTAAAGGTAGAGCTTTTTAGTAAGTGGATTGAACTTATAGCTTTGATACAAAACTCTTCAAAGTTAGTAATTATGATTTTTTTTAATCATATATTGGTTTGTTTTGAAGCACCTATTAAATATCAATGGATCAAGAGAGAGAATTCTTTATAGCTTTTAAAGCTTTACATACTAAAGCTTTGATAGATTATTGCACCACATCTAGAAATCATCTTAAGACAAATGGCTTAGTTGAATGGATTGTTTAGAGTGTCAAGTGTTAGAGTAAATTTCATCTCTCAATCCAAATTACAAGATAGCCTCAATTAAGAATTACTTATTATTGGTGATGTGAAATGAGACAAGTAAATTACAAGAATAAAATGAGTACAACTTCAAAATAAGTGAAAGAAATGTGTTCAAGCAAATACACACTTCAACACTTAATCACAATCAATTTATTGAATTTTTATCAAGTAAAAAAATAAAATTAAAATTAAAAGTTATATTTTTAGATATTTAGTTTTATTATCTTTTCAATGAAATAAGAAAAAAATAAATCCAAATTATTATGATTAAATTAGAAAAGGTTTAAAGATAATAAGTAAATAATTAAAAAGTTATGTGAAAATATTTTATCTCAATAATAACTTACTTATAGATTAAGGATTTGATTTTCACCAAGGCTCATATATACTATATATTGGTCTCTAAGATAGGCCACAAGGCCTTAGTCTTATCCTCTTAATTACATTTAAGATGCTACAATCCATATGAGACTTGTGTACCTTCTTTTCTACAAGGACTATACTAGCTATTAGTCCTCCTATTTTTTACTAGTAAAACCAATATTTTACATTTTTTACTACTAAGCATAAAAAATAATATACATAATATATAATTTTACATATTAAGCTAATTAAATATAATAACTATTAACCAATATTTATAGTTTTTTTATAAATAATATATATAGATAAAAGGCCAATATAGATATTATTTTTAATAACTAATCCTTAATACTCAAAAATAAATAAAAATACTAAACCAACTTAGATAATTGTCTCCAAGGCTTACTAAGACTCTATTTCTACAACTAACATTCTAATTTTCTATTTGTCTAAGGATGTATTGCCCAATAGTATTTTGTTGTTTAAAGGCAAAGTGAATATGTATCAAGAGTATTCATGGAATTGCGCTCTTTATCATGTTTCTATTGGTGACTTTGTACATCCTAAACTAGTAATTGTGCCAAATGGTCTTTTATGTTTTGTATGTAGTGAGAAGAAAGGGATTGCTACCATACTATTATATGATCAGTGCCAATGTAGGTGATATATGGCATGCTTGATACCAAATCTTTTAATTCTTCTTTTAAGAGAATGGATTTGTCCAATTTGTAGGAAGTCTTCTTACCATACCTCATTTGTTGATGAAGATTGAAGATTCATTCTTTCATATTTTTCACACGTTTTGGTGATTAGGTGCTACAATATTGGCTTGATTAGGTACAATTTTGCAACCATATCATTGTAACATTCATATCCAACTATGAATGTATTATTGTCCTAGTTGAGTGAAGGGATTTCTAATCAATTAGAGAAAATACTTGAGAGTATATTGATTGTACATTTGTATTTGGTTTAGATTGCATACTTCATAATTGATTTATGGCACTTAATGTATTTTGTATATCAATCTTCATTTATACAGCACCTATGAATTTATAATATCATATTATCAATTTGGAGAAAATTTCACAATTAACTTAATTTATTTTTAAAAAATTGAAAGTTAAAAAGCTATTTTTATTCTTATAGATTTTTTATGGTATTATGCAATAATAAGAATATTATAATATTATAGAGTATTTTTTTTAAAAAAATCACTATATGTACTACAAATTTGAGCATCTTTAAAAATATTTCATACTTATTTTGCAAGTTAATACCTAATTAGAATTTAAATGTTAAGTGAAGTAGAATGAATATTTATTACAATAAAATAAAATAAAATAAAATAAAAGAGAATAAATAAAGTGTATTGCTAATGCCACTAGAATTCACTATCCATCACATGCTACTCATATTTTTTATCAATGTTAAACAAAATAGTATAATTTTTTTCTTAGTTCTTTATTTATATTCATATTTAAATATTATTTGTAGTATTCTTTAAATTAAAAATAAATTTATTCTATACTAATTTTTTTAATAAATATATTTATTCTTAGCAATTCTCAAATATCTTGTAGTAAAATTTAACTCATTTTCTATGTAATTTGAAATACATGTATTGAAAATAATAAATTAAAAAAACAAAAACAAAAAACAAAAAGAAACAAGTATGTCAAGTGAGTGGCGGGTTGTGATGGAAGTAACAAACACTCTTATGATATTGACAATACACTAAAAAAAAAATCAATGATACAATAATTGATGCAACTAAGCAAGTTAATTGTTAATGAAGAGAGCATTAATACATGGACTGCAAAACCATACAATCTGATTACTTCAGCAGAATTTCTAAACACTAGAAGTCACGTTCAAATAACAAGATGGTTGAATAAGTCTCACCTCTTTGAGTGAATGAGCACAACTTACATTTCTTGTTTTTGAAATGTTATATTTTTCATGTGAGAAAGATTGTCATTCTTAATTTATTGAAAGAGTTTGAACAAGAAGAGGTTGATTTATCCAAAATAGACATCATCCCTTTCCCTGTAACATACATAAAAAAAATTCTATCCCTAAATATTGATATACTTTTCAAGGCAGTCAAAACAATCTAATGAAGTTAGTGCTAGGCTATTGTTAAATCTTTGTCTCCACTCGATTTCTCAACAATATCATCCCATAATATTTAAGTCACTTTGGTTACTAATGATAGACATCAAATATATTTTTCAATCTCATTGATTTGATTCTTGAAGTTTCCGGATTTTTTCTTAAGAAAATACACTAGACATAAATTACGTGTGTTCAGAGGACAGACGTCATCATCCAGAATGGAAGTGATGTTAAGAAGGTGACCAATGGCATACACACTCGACAAGAAAATCCGAAAGCGTCCATGCGACCTCTTTACATGTTAAAAATTGTAGACCATTACAGGCTCAACGCCTAAAGTGGAAGTTCACAATAGAGGTTTGCATAAATGACTGTTGGACAGAGATGACGAAGGGAAAAATAGGGTGGAACAAAAAAGAAGCTACTCGCTTTATGTGGCCATCGTTTGAACCAAGCTCCAACCCTGAGTAGAAAGTCCAATCACACGTGTCTCATGTTTCATGACTAGATCATCGTGAGGCAGAAAATGGAATGTAAATACAACAGCAAAAGGTGATTCCACAAAACAATTCGCCAGCACCATTGTCTTGAACTGTCTGAATCACAACTCTCTCAGTGAGGCTATTCAAACATTAGCGATTATCTCCAGGGAGATAGAACAGAGAAGATATATAGGATATACTGCAGGAAAAAGCATACATACCAGGGTTGATTTTAAATTTAAGTGTATTAGGTCGACGACGAGAAATGAACTTAATCGGATGCTCCGCACAAGGTTTGTGCCTATCGGTGGAAGATATCAACTGAAACATATAGATCAAACAACAATCAAAACCTTCAGTGAAATTCCATGCTGTAAAAATCCTCAACAAGTATCAAAGTCCACAAAAATCCAAACTCAAATGTGACAATCAAGACCGTGCACAAATCCAGAAGAGCCATCAAATTAGAAAATGAAACTCTCAAAAACAGAATCGTCTGAAAGGGCCACGATTGAGTGTGCAGTAGGAACTTCACCAAAGCAACAGCGATGCAAACTCTCACCTTCTCATCGAAGTGAAACAGGTACTGATCAAAATAGGCAGATGGACTTAGAGATTGAGAGTTGTGCGGTAAAGAGGCCAAAGTTCTTTTGATGACCTGTACGCGACAGATCAAAGTTCACAAATTCAGCACATCAACAACAGATACGACTCAAAAGTACGAATTATCGCAGGACTTATTCAAGGTCAGAAGTTAGTAATCTACCTGTGCATAGCTACCGATTTTGCCAGAAATACATGCAGCTTTCTGCTTACGCAACTGCTCGCGGGCGAAGATGTTGTTTGAATAGCTGGAGATAAAATTCATGTACAAAGGACTCTGTGGGACCACTCTGAAGTGGTCCCAGTAATGCTCCACCAACTGAAGCAACTCCTCTGATGAATTCTGTTCAGTAAAACGAAAAGTATAAGTGCTCTGAAAATGAAGCAAACACAAGGCATAACTACGATCCAAACTTTGTCGACAGCGCACTACTTCGGCCATGAGTAGAATAAGTACCGGATAAAAAGCAAGTATCTCCGTAGTTTCCATATTGTATACAGCAAAAAACGAGTTTTGATGCGATACTTCTGAATTTCTTAGTATCTGCACGCAAGAGAACAGAAGTGTTAAATAATTAATAACATACACACTAACCTGAGTTTAGTGTTAGCGCCGCTTAATATAGCAGCTGACCCACGTGCACGCAGAGGAAAAAACTGTCATACAAAATCATATGATAAAAAGACTACGTAAGAGGAGACTGAAGCAATACTTACCACTCCGTCCACACTACCAAATTTTATAAGCAGGTGATATCGATCAAGAAATTGCACCTGTCAATGAATTTAGGAGCAGTGGTTAGCATCTCAGCTCATCCAAGAAATTCAACAAAAATGCGACATGGAACAGGAACCAGCAAAAAAAACGTTGATTTCTTGACCCTCAGTTCAAAATATCCAATTTACCTTCCACATCACCAGATTCATATAGTCTTGGAAATAATAATAGAAGCGCTTAAGTTGTTGAGCTTTCTGTTACACAAAGAAAGAATCTCAATATTTAATGCCATAAATGTATAACAGTGAAATCCAAGGAGCTTATAAAGCAATTCCACGTGTCCACGAAGCATGAAAAGTCCCAACTAGAGAAACTGCACATCCAAACACACACAATCACCCCGATGTACAAAGTGAGAAACTTACAACAGCAGGAGTTGTGACCTCATTGTGAATACCCTGCAAGATAAACGACAAAAGCCGCTGCTTGAGTCCACGTAACATCTGCCTTCCATCCGGAACTCCGTCCACAGACATGCTTGCGGCAGCTTCATACTCAGATTGTGTAGCACCTCCCCTCATACTCCCAAGTCCACCAGAACCATGTGAAATACTTGAATTACTTGGACCTGGTTGCCCTAGTCTACCAGTAGAAATTTCTGTGCTAGTGGTCGTCTGCTCCACACGCTCCAAACTAGTCCGTGAAGGTCCCACAGAAGCGTCACCCAGGCTGGGCTCGTCACGGATTACAGAATCTGAACGATTCTGAGGAAGCACGATCGACCCCCCGTGTATGGACACACTGGACACTGGTCGTATCCACCTTTCACTGGTTCCTGCGTCATCTCTGTGACTAGAGAACTCATTGAGGGCAGTCCCATCAGAAGATCCCGGCTCACTATGGCTCACTACATCAGTACCACTACTACTAAACAAACTTCCACTTAAAGACAAATAGTTCCCAAACAAACGAAAAGTTGAGGTTTCATGCGTAGCGCCCCTCTCTGAGGAAAACTGACGTCCTGATAGATTCTCACGGCTACCGTTCAGTACTTCAGCTCCAAACCGTCGTCCAGACGGTGGTTCGTAGTTGCGATTGTCTCTTTCGGGGGCCAAACGACGCACCTGCAAACTACTAGGAATCCCAGTCTCCCTCCCCACAGGAAACGAGCGAACGTGATTATAGCCATTTGAATGACTGGCCGAGTCCACTCCTAATCGAAACCGACGAATGTGAAGATTGCCATTCGCATGACTATCGTACTCTCCACCAGTAAGGATCCTCATATTACCGTTGCCACTTGGCGTGCTCAGGTCCGCAGCAGGTCCATCTCTACCTGTGCCGAGCCCTCGGAAATACCCTTCGTGAGCAACGTCAATCACATCACCGTGACTCACACCATTTGCCGCACCCAGATAGTGCGAGTACGCCGGGGCTGAACCAAAATCTTCATGTGAGGCCCTGCTATCTCGAAGTCGTGGCCGCTTTCTGTCGATCAAAGTAGTCCAAGGCTTTCCCCGGGTAGTACCAGACTGAGAGACTGAAGCCAAAATCTCAGCTTCGTCAAGACGGCCTCGAGCTTTCCGCAGCAGTCGCTGCTCCTCCTGAAATTTAGCCTCTGCCTGTCATCATCAAGTACGTTTATAGTCTGTCAACAGCACATATCAAAAGTAGTAAACGATAGCGAGAGTCTACAGCAACTAGGTAATTCTAAGGAACCTAACTCGCGGTTAACTCGTGACTTGCAAAGTAAATTGCCAAAGACACTGTTGTTGGGTGAACAATGATGCACATTGAAGATACAACAACTGGGATTTAATTATTGCCCAGTAGATTCGACGAGCAGTACTCATTGATCAGCAATGCAATCACCATGCATCTGATGAAATGAATATAGAAACCCAGACACTATCAAACATCAAAAGCTGAAGCGTGTGAAAATAAAAATTTCCTCGGCAGATTATCACACACGCAGAAACTGGAGTAGGCGCACTCCGAAATATGCGAAGTAAACATACAACGCACTACACATAAGCTGAAAACTAACTAGAGAAGAAGATGCTAAAACTCCCACACTGGTCACTGCTCATGGAATGCATTCGGAGTGAGAAATAACCTGAGCCTGTGAATTGAGAATGAGCTCATCGTCATCTCGACAGAAATCGCCAATAGTGCGCACATCCAAGAAGAGTCCACCATCTCGGACCTGAAGAATATGAATACGCTGGAAGCGAATAGACAACACGGCCAGGAGGTCATCATGCAAAAATACACCAGCATTGTGAGCCAGGTGTATGTAGTCATCTTTGAAGACGGACCGTCCCGTGATGGACCCATCAGCAAAGCGGACCACGAGGAATGTTATCTTCTCAATACAGGGAACTCCAGGCACAGCACCGTTCGTTGCTGCAGCATTAGTATCTGGGGCAGTTGATGTGGCAAATATGCCATACAAATTGTTTTCCGTAGACAGGAAAAAGTCCTTGCAGATAACCTCATTGGGACCCCGAGCGAGAGGGACCTGATGCAGCAAGCTGAAATAACTCTCGAACTCCTTGGACTTCGAAGGGAGATCATTAATCGTATCTGAAGTAGAACAATACGTTGGCCACAGAGGCCGGTAGATGAGCAAGTCTTGTTGCGCCTTACTGAAACAGATCAAGTACTGCCCGTCGTGGGTAAACCGACGCCACCATTGGTCTGGACAGTCTACCTCATAGACCGTGTGGCTCGGTACGACATTCTCATATAACTCTCGTGCCCTATGTATCTGCAATAACATGCGGAAGGTTAGGGTGGTGAACGACGCTATTAATATCATGGGACATCTTGCGAAAGTGTAGACAAATCATCTGATTGTCAAATTCGATCGAGATCTTGGGCAAACTATACAATTCGCGGATCCACATAAGTCATCAAAGCAAAATACGGAATCTAATCCACTCACAGAGCATCTCATGTATTTTGAAAGAGCGCTGTCATCCTCTTTGATAACTGTTGCAACTGGTTTGTAAAAACATGCATGTACCACTATGGCTACCCGCTGCTACTTACCGAGAGTTTCAAGATCATCATGTATATTCTACGAATAACAAAGAATACTTCGGACAGAACAGAAGAACATGTTTCACACTTCACAATAGAGTAGCCCCTTGAGAGACCAATATCCCCACTCGCGCAATTATACTTCACAATTACCAGTTATCCCGCTCCCAAGTTTTGCTGGATGCTAATTTTACCAGAAAAGACACACTATAAACTGAGAAGAAATGGTTGGGCTATTAGTTTGAGGAATGTACAGTTGTGTTGGGACGGCCGGAGCTGACTTGTCGGGAGAAAAGCCGATGCACAATGTTCTCACTCTGCTTCCACATTCATAAAGCCCTTGGGGCAACCTGGGGGTATATCGGTGGAACACAGCAATTTTACTGCCATGCCCACCATGTGCACTTTACCACAACTTCACTACCCACTCATTCCTTTCAACCTTGAAAATCACCTCGCAACCTAGTCACGAAGACAAACCGCCTGTTCGAGGACTTGGTCCCACCTCCGACCACTCGCCGCACAAAACAAACCTGCTAACTCAAACGGTAACACTTCCTCCAAACACTGACCACCTCACGAGATTTGTAAAAATGTTGGTGAACACCCTGCAAGCCTAGCCAGAATTTCTTCGGTGTCGAGACCGAGTCAACAGATTGGGCAACGTTCGGCTGATTGTAGTTGAAGAACTCCGTCGAGAATAGCAGCTTCACAAAAAGACTGCTATCAGTTGCAGCTTTAACGTAAAGAAACCCAAGCAACAACCAAGATTACAACTGCAACAGCACCAGCTACGGTTTTCACATGTAACCCCCTCCCAAGTCTCTGTCCTCAGTTGGGCAACTCAAAACGTAAATACCGAGAATGCAAACTCAATCTTAACTCACAACGACGCGAAACCAAGCCAAGCGCACAAACTCAACAATGATCCTCACTCCACTCGGCTTCCAAACCCGGCAAGCTTCGCTACCAAATCTCTATTACTCCACATACACCACATTCACTCACACCTCCCCGCCACCCGACTCACCAACCCAAAAAATGTAAACCAAAATATAAAGAGAAAAAGAAAAAAGAAATCAATATCAATATCAAATACTCGAACCTCAACCACGATCTCTCAACGTGCCCCTCACTCTGTTTCCACACACTCTCCAAGAACCCACCTCCCAATCCTTCCGAAAACGCATGGAACACACCTCCTGAATCCACACGGGGAAGAAAAAAACAAAAAAAAAAAACGAGAGGATAGAGAAATTCCAACCACAGAAAAATGCGAAAGAAAACCCCCAACGACAACACCGATACCCTCTAGGTAAGGAACGAGCGGTGAGAAGGCTCCTCCGAGGATCTGTAGGCCTAACGTGACAAACTTGTGCTCAAAAAGAAGCCACGTCTGGTCCACCCGAACTCGGAGATGCGCTTGCGACGACTCACTCGTCCTCTAGCCCCGCACCATGGTAGGAATAGCAACCCCTCCTGCGCCCCATGTCTGTAAGTTAGTTAGTCTTCTTCTTCCTTCCTCTTCGTCGATTCTGTGTGCGGATCGGTTCCTTCATCGTTTTACTTTGGTCTCCATGTCCCCGCACCCCAACCCGCCCTGATCCCCTGTGTCTGCGCGCCTTGTCCAAATACATAAGGTGAGAATTGTCCATTTCGGCGATGGCGCTGCTGCTTTCTCCCATTGCCTCATGTCCCCGCCCGTGTTCGATTTTGATGTGCCGCTATTTTTAATTTCGTAATGTTTTTTTTTGTTTATATGAGTGAGTGAGTGCGTGCGAGTGCGTTCCCCAGTCTTCCTTCATCGAACACCACACACAGCGACGGCGATCCTCAGCCACAGATGGGCTCTGGGAAGGGGAATATTCCTCACGCGGTGGGGGGGGGGTCGAGATCATGTAATGTGTGTAGTCTGGGTGGTGTGGATTGGGGGAGGTATTGGGCCTGACGTGGACGCCACGCTGGTGCCTCCCGGCTAGGTGGACGCTACGTCGTTGGGATGCACCGCCCAAACCCCACGTACCTATTTTTACATAATGTACATGGTTCTCTTATTCTACTGTGCAAGGGAGAAATCTTTGTGCGGGAGAGTGGTATTTGGGTAATTCTAGTTATTGGGTAAGGTGAGATGTCTTTGCTGAAAATGAATGGATTTCACATTTTCAACAACAAAAAAAAATCAAAAAAAAAAGTGTTATGTGATTGTCCTATATATTTGAAGTATGAATCTGTGTTTATATATAGATACATATATAAATAAGGTATTATTAATGGTGTGGTATAAGAGGTATTGTTACTACCATTATTACCACCACAAGCTACTTTAAACCTATGTTATATGCCAGAATAAACTTTCCTCAATCATTTGTATTGTATTAAAAGAAAATGTTTCAACCTATAACTCTCAATTACTCTTGTCAGCCATCATTTGTAAAAGAGAGCCATGGATGGATCACATACAACAAGGGCATATGAAAGAAATGACAATAAGAATGTTTGAAAGGATTATACCAAAACATGAAGGATTATACAAGGATTAGATGGCATTTAATATTCATCTTTATAAACTTTTGTGCGACATTTATTTGATTTGTCTATTTAGACATTGCTTTATGAACTAAAAGAAAAAAACTACAAGCATGTGATTGAATACAACATAAATTGCATCATTCAACATGTATTTTTTGCATGTCGAGACACAATTACATTAATATTGTACTTCTTTTCAATCATCTTCATAGATTGCATATGCAAAACCAATTGTTTTTGCATCTTGTTATTGGTTGTAGTTGGTTGCATATGTTGCAATATAAACTATTTTATTAATTTTGCTTTCATTGAAAAAGAGACTACATTCAAATATATATGGGCTCTCATGTAAGTCAAGAATTTATTTTTTAATAGCCAATTTAAAAGAATCTAAATTACAAATGTTGATTTAGCACTAACTAGTGTCATCTCAATTCTTTTCTTTACTTCTATTATGTGTTCTTCCAATGGCATATTGACAACAATGTATTAACAAAAGGTGAGGACGTTTTTTGCAATGAAGAGCAACATGATGAATTGATGAAGGCATGAACAATCTTTTGTTGCACAAATATACTAACCAAATTTGGCAAGCTCTAGATAAAACTTTATTCCAATTTTAAAGATGTTCAAAAAAATCTTAGATATTTAGAGCATACTTAGTTTTTTATTAAAACACAAGTTTGTAAGCATATTGATGAATAACTATCTGAACTTTTGAAATACCAAAACATTCTACGTAAATAGAATTCATTTGATATTCAAAGGCTTTTCCCTAGCGTTTATCAGCAATCTATACAATGTACAAGAAAAAAAATGGATGCACGCTTATCCATGAAGCGGCTAATTTACACCAATTACTACTAAGGAATGCATACTTGTATTGCATATATTTTGTTGGCTATTTTTTTCTCAACTTATGGAAGAAGTATCATATTATGCATTGAAGTTATTAGATATTGTTGTGTTGTGGTTTGGCTATCATGTGAAAATAATATATATATATATATATATATATATATATATATATAATTTATTATATAATGTAGTAAAGAACCATGTTAATTAGATTTTTGTTGATTACAAAATGTCATTAGATTACTACTCTAAAGTCGTTAGTTTAAAAGAACTATTATAGAAGTTGATTTTATGTTGATAATACTTTTATGTATTTAGAACCACCTATATTAGACATTGGAGAGTCTTAAAATCTTATTTTGTTCCTTTTATATGGTCTTTAGGACATATATTATATAAATCTTATAAAAAAAGGGTTGAAGAAAGATTTTGGTACCAAAAGTAGTAGTTAGGGCATCCATATGGATGAATGGAGATGGATGATGAAAATCTCCATTGCTATTGGCCAAAAGACATGTTCAATGGGCTTCAAGGAGGTTGCTTGAGGCCTTATTAAGAATTAGGATTATTCTTTCAAGGCCATTTGAACTTAGGAGGCTAAGATTAAGAAGTTTAGATTTTTGGCTATAGTTTTGGTACAAATTTTGATTGATTTTGAGTTTTTTTAAAAGAGATATAAGCACTCAAAGTTAAGGTATTGATTTTGTACCAACGATCACTCTTTTAGACAAACACACACATATAAAAAGCAATGAAGAATCGGAAACTAAGGTTGGAAAGAAAATTTTTTGAGCTACACTTTTCACACATTTTTTGATAAATTTTAAGATGGAATAAAAGAGATATATGAAGTTGAAGTTAGTACTTGCAATCTAAAAGCATTAAGTAATCCGATTTTCTAGTAGTTCTGTTTTGAGCTATAAATTGAGAAATTTAATAAGATTTGGCTAAATTTTTTTAAGAATATATATTATCATGTTGCTAAACTTTATATATAAACTTTGTAGCATTTAGAGTTTGGATTTTTGAAATGTAGAGAAAATAGTGTTTGAGTGCTTGTAAATTAAGGATTAAAGCATTTACTAGGATTTTTAAGATGCCAAACGATTTGTAGTAGATTTATGGTTTTTTATTTTTATTTTTATTTTTTATTTTTTATGGTATAGTTTAAAAATAAAGTCTACATTATCTAGAAATTTGAGAAAAATTAAATGATTTGTTTTAGGAACCATATACAAGACAAGGATTCAAGACCAAAGAATGAAATTAACTCGACATTAAAACAACAATTAGATACAAGGTACGAAGGTCCTCGCTAGATTACAAGAAGTGAGTTGTCAAGATTGAAGATCTCCTCAGCCTCAACTCTTATATATATTAGGTCCTAGGAAGCTTCTTGAGAAGTTTTTATGAGGCTTGAAAATAAAGCAAGCCTAGGATCCTTCTTAAACAACTTCCTAAATCATCTAAAGCTTCCTAGAACCTTTTGGAATCTTCTTCAATTGTATGTATATGACATCACTTCCTCTTCTAGCTTCGAGATCTTTGAGAAGGAATGTTGCAGCAACCTAGTATATGCACAAGAAGTTGAAGATCTGTCGCATGGTATCCGCTATATATTCCAGTTGTTTTTTGTGAGGTAAATGGTTCATAGGCCCTTGTAGCCATTGATAGTGCTCTAAGATTTCTACTTATAACCAAGCACAAACTTCAGTATCTTTATTATAGAATTGTTCTGCAAACACTCATTCTAGATGTCCTTCATAGGCAAGTTCTATCTGAAACACAATTACGAGTCACCTATTACTAGGTATCTTTTGACATCTTTGTGATTCAGGCAACTCTTCATCTTAGAGTTATCTCCGCAAGCTACTTGGTTGAGATCGTATGACCGGCATGGCTTCTATCTCTTGACTATTCATATCACATAAAGTAGATAAGATCAAAATAATATAAACATGCTATGGTCATGAACTCAAACTACTAACTTATACTATTCTAAACATTTGACAACAACTGCCTCTTCAGAGGTTGCCTCCTCCTCTTCTTTATGAGGCCAAGAATTAAGAATCTTCATGGTAAAGCCATCTTATCAAGCTACTATTCTTTATTTTGCTGCTTTTGGTCTAGATGGATATAATTGATGGAACCTTTGAACCTTCATTTGTGTATTTATAAGATTACGAATTGGTTCCTATGTACGATTGTTGATATCATATCTGGGCCAATAGACAAGATATTCAAGCCTTCTATATGTTATTCTTGAATCTAATACCTCTTCTACCTCAAATTCAACATGATCATTCATTTCAACCATAGGAGGTAGTAGTTGTCTTTGACTTGGTATGTTAGATTCTTTATACCTTTCCAAAAGTGAAACATTAAAGACTGGATGAATCTTCATAGATGAAGGTAACTCCAAGCGATAAGTTATGTAATTAATTTGTTTTTGAATCATAAATGGTCCCAACCTTTGATAGTCCAACTTATCACATGGCCTGTTAGTTTTTATATTGCGTCGAAGAAGCTATACTTTGTCACCAACTTTGAATGGATGATGTTCCTTTCTCAATTCATCTGCCAATAGCTTATAACATTCTTGAGCCTTTTCTAGGTGAATCTTCATGGTTGCTTGAAGTTTCGCTATTTTAATAGCAAATTCCTCTACTACTAGATTTGTCAATTTTGAAGGCTCTATCATATCTAATTTTGGATGATGATCATAGTTTGAGTAGAATGGCATTTGCTGCATAGATACATGGATTGTATTGGTTATATGCAAACTGTGCCAACAACAAGTAGTAAGTCCAATCATCTTATTAATAATTAATGGTGCACCTCAAATATTGCTCAAGAATTTGGTGATCCGCTCTGTTTGGCCATTAATTTGAAGGCAGAAGGCAAAAGAAAGGTTGATGTCAACCTTAAGAATCTTGAAAAATATCTTCCAAAACTTTGATACAAAATGTGGCCCATGATCCAACAAAATGTCATTTGGTAATCCATGGTAATGATAGACATTGTCAATAAAGAGTCTTACCATCTCTTCACTAGTAATTGATTTTTTGTAAGGCATAGAATGTGCCATCTTACTCAATCGATCAAGAACTACAAAGATAGAGTCAAATGAGTTTGATGGTGGGTGATCTGTAATGAAATCCATAGAGATAGATGACCATGGT